ACAGAAAACCTGACTCAACTGTGCCCCTAGTTCATCATTTTGACCATTTTTTTTTTGCTTCTGCTAAAACAATTTTAACCAAAATGAGAGTTAGATTAACACGCTTGTTCAATTTTCTGATTTGAAATCATGCAAGTCAGGTTATGAGCACTGAAAATTTTCCTTTTTTGGGTCCAAGAAATGGTCCAGTTTTAGAAAAATGGAATAATTTTCGAGAGAATTAGTCAACCTCATTAAAAATTCTCAAAAACTATTTTTGCAAATGGCCACTGCTCGACCAACACGGAACTTACTCTTGAGATGCACAATCTCAGATCCAAAACAATGGAACTGCCCCTTGTCTGAAGGACACTGTATGGCAACGGCAGGTTGCCCCTTGTTTGAATAGCGCCACAACAATGCACGGCAATGGAAAGTTGCCCCTAGTCTGAATAGCGCCGCAGCACGTGGCAACGAGTCCTCATAGTGACAATTACAACCAAATTCTCGGATATAGAGAAGACAAAGATGACCAGAACCATCAAATGGGCACAGTTAAATTTGAAGTGTTTTACGGCTGGACTTCAGAATGAAGTTGCCTATGTATCTCAAAGATGGGAATTAAGCCTTACGTAGTTCGGGGTAAGGTACACTCAGGTATTAACCTCTCATTTTGCGCTCTAACTTTTGCCAAGGCCGCCCTTTCTAGGTTTTCAACGTTGCGAGCTTTGTTATTCTTTTCTTTCAATTCTTTTCATTTCTTTTCTTTTTCATCTTTTCTTTTCATTTTCTTCATTTTTTTTTTTTGCATTTTTCTCTTTTTTTCTTTTTCTTGCTCTAACTTTTGCTTGGGTCGCCCTTCCGGCTTTTCGGCCCAGCGAGTCTCTCAAGGGTAAAAGTGTAGCTTTGCCCATGTCAAATGGTTTTGAGATCTTGAAGTCATCTGAATCTAGGAGAATGGTTGTTGTCTGCTAATGATGTAGAAGTCCATCCAATGGAGGGTGAATTTGCCCGTAGTATTGTGGATAGGAACTCGATTGTCCTTCAGCAATGTCTTCTTCTTTCCTCCCTTCTGGGGTTTGGCATTCTTGCCGATCTTCATTGATTTGTGGAATGATCCATCTGAAGTCATCTGAATCCAGGAGAATGGTTGTTGTCCGCTAATGATGTAGAAGTCCATCCAATGGAGGGTGAATTTGCCCGTAGTATTGTGGATAGGAACTCGATTGTCCTTCAGCAATGTCTTCTTCTTTCCTCCCTTCTGGGGTTTGGCATTCTTGCCGATCTTCATTGATTTGTGGAATGATCCATCTTCGGCTCTTCGAGCACAATCTGGCATCTTTCTGCCTCTAGGTCGAGGGCTGTTTCAAATTTGGCCACACAAGCCTCACATTGCGGTTGACCATTGAACATTCTGAGTTAAGGCTCAAGGTCGGAAAGCAAAAGGGGGGGTCGAGTCTCAGGGCTGAGAGCGATTCCACACAGGTCCTCGCAGGATTGCGCAAAACATTTTTGTTTCGAAATTTTTTTAAGAAAGCGACTAATCGCTCGCGCGGAAGACAATGTAGAACCAATCTGGATCAAGCCAAGATCCTTCTCAGTGCTCACATTAACAAGCATGATCTCAATCATTAAGGGCTTAGCACGCCTCTCTTTCTCTCAGTTGATCGAAATTTTTTGCAAATCCCGAGGAATTCCTTCTTCTTTGTAAGGGCCTAGCATGCCTCTCTTTCTCTCAATTGATCAAATTTTGCAAAACCCGAGGAATTCCTCCCTCTTCATTTTCATCACAGTGTTCGAAAAGTTTTGGAAAACTTAGGTCAATGCAATGAGTTTGAGGCACAGAAAAGTAGGCAAAAAGTACTGCAGTTTCATTCAAACTTTCTGGCACAACTGGCGCAAGGCAGAAACAAACACAAGGGTGTGAAAATCACTGTTGTTCATTCAAATCTATTGACATTACTGGCTCCAAGGCAAAAACAGACTAAAAACAAAACGAAAAGACAAACACAAAACAAGCATGTGATGTCTGAGGTAACACCCCCGAAATCACCCGACTCCAACAAAACAGGACTGACTCGATATAACAAGACAGACTCGACTGACTCAATACCCAAGCCAGGAAGCACAAAAGTTAGCATTCGCAAATGCTCAAAATAGTACGTGCCATACGCCACATCTGGAGTAAACTGAGCGCCGCCCGTAGGTGGTTCATCCCCCGATCACATACTCGTACTATCTCCCAAGTTCACTGATCTAGTGTCGATTGACTTTGCAGGACGTGGTGCGACGATGACCTCGTGGTCAATCAAATCTTGCACTTCGTGGCGAAGATGAAAGCAATTGTCAGTGCATGACCAGTTTGTTGATGGAAGGCACAGTACTGGGCAGCATCATGCGTAGCCAGAGGAGGATTCGGGAGAGGCTAAGGCTCAAGGGGTTTGAGATGACCTTGTCCAACAAGGATTTGGAGAGCTTTGGACAAAGGCATATAGAGGGCATGGAAGACCCTCTGACCTCGGGGTTGGTACTTCAAGGTTTGTGGATTTTTGTTGGACGCACCAGCAAAGGGATTGGCAGGTGCTGACTGAGTTTGCTGATCTCTTCCGAGCACGATATTAGAGCTGAAAGGAACATTCCTGGTACAACCGCCCTTCTCCCGGCTTGCCCCTTGATTCAAACTGCCCCTAACTTTAGTGGTGAAAGTGTCATCCACAGTTTTTGCAATAAATGCGAGGACTTGCTCTTTGTTCAGTCCCTCGGCTTTCAAAGCCTCAACAGCCAACAGAAGATGCTCATGGGGATCCATGCCCGCCCCTACCTTGTTCTTAAGTACTTTGTTCGTGACAAAGCGCTTGTGTTACGCATCATGTCCTGCAGATACATTCAATGTCCACGTACCCCCACAATTTGAAATTGTTAGCACGAATACATGTACGGGTTGTGTGTTAACAGCACAACGGGCGGTAGTGGGGTTACTTACCGCGCACACGCTGCTGTACACATATGTCGTTCCTTTATATTCTCTTCTACCTGACACCGTCCTGTGCATGTCTGTCAACATAGCTGCGTATGCATCTATTACCTACACCACGTAGTGAACATTATAATTTGATTGTCTCCATTTACAAAAAATCTACACAATCGTACCACACAGTGTATTCGCTGACACGGTGGCAATATATTAAAAAAAAAATCCAACCTATCAAGCCAACCCTGTTTGCAATGGTACCAAATCAGTAAGGAATTCAATTAACAAGAAGAGAGATGTGCATACATTGCCATGAATCGAGTTCTCCTGTACCAAATCTTTGATGTCAGTGAAGTGAACTTGTATCCCATTCTCACCACCATCCCATACTATTAACCTGCACGCCATAAACCAGAACATATTAATAACGTACTGAACGTTGCAACGATAATATACGACAACTTAATTAACGAAAAACTTACCCATCTCATTCTAAGCTGTACATTTGCTCCAGTACCTTCCGGTCTTCATCTTTCAACATGCCCCACACAATGTGTCTCTGAGTCATTCCAAAACCATTCCATGTTTTACGTCCCACATCAATATCCTCGACAGTGTATATCTCCCCTGGCTTCGTTGATTTACAAATCCTCACTTTGTCACTCAGTTTGACCCTCCCAAATACGTTGGGGTACTCGTAATCACACAGCCTGTACTCGCGCCTTGGCTCTTCTTTCACACGTCTGACCATTGACGTAATCTTCGGTCCAGAACTTGGTTCGCTGGACTTGTCACGACAGACAACTTCTGTGCCTTCAACATCAACATCCAAACCATCACACGCATCTAGAAGTGCCTGGAAGCTACGTGAATTCCTCTTACAATCATCCCTTGCAACAGACGAACATACATACCCATCGGCACAAGTAATACTCACATCTTCACCCAAGTTATTGATTTGTACAACTTGGTGCGTGGGACTGGCTAAATCGACAAAGGCCTCAGCCAGTTCTTCCCAGTTTTGCTTCACTTTATCCTCTAACCTAGCATACCAAGTGGCTGCTACACCCGACAGGGTTCTTCCATACAGAGAGAGTTTCTGTGGCTTAGTCAGACCCATCGGCTTCAGGACATCCAAGAAAAGCCGAATATGTACCATAAGATCTCCAGACCTGTCAAAACGGTCAATATGTGGCATTTTGAATCTGTCTGGGAGCCGTATGGCAGCCTCGGTGTATCCATCCTCAATGTCAGGAATGGAGTTAAGGCCCTGTGCCTTTTTGAATTGCTTCTCAAGGTTTACAATGTTCACTGCAGTTAGATTGAACTCATTAACATGAAACGGTTGAAGCCTCTCAGTAGGCTGCACCAGGGGTGTGGAAACTCGAGCTTGAGCTAACCCTTCTTGGGGATCCGGACCATGCAAATCTTTAGTTGGCGGAAGTGGATCAAAGTTCGACTGGGGTCCCGAGGCTGGATGTGCTATAGATGCCCTAGATGGACGCTGCGTTTCAATACTGGCCTCAGCCTGCATGGCAGTTCCCCAATTTAACGCTGCTATCACAGCCACAAATTCTTCCGAACCTTGTGCCACCACGGTCTGCTGAGTCTGAACAAAGGTGATGTGACTGGCGACTGACGGATTAGATAAACCGGTGAGCCTTGACTGGCCTTTCTTTGGCTTGCCTCAGCGAAAGAACACTGGTTGCCCTTGAATTGAATCTCTGACCTAACAAAGTCTATCAGCACAAGTCCAATGAACTCGGGGGATATCGGAACCTTCTGAAGCTATAGTTCTAGGACTACCCCTAGCAAAAGAGAAAACAAACAGTATCTCAGCCTGATTTTATCAAAACAGATATGAGCAGCCAAATAACTGTGCTCTCTACTGAATTCTGTCCAAGATTCTACCTGTAAACTAATACCTTAGGTCAAACTGATTCCCCACATACTGATGCCCTCAGGTCTGATACCCAGACTTGCAAACTGATACACACAGCCCTGTAGAGACACACTCTGATAGCACATAGCAGGCAAATGAGAGCCAAAACACCCCTATGTTGGGGTAGGGTTTCTCTGTCCTATTTTGTTAGGAGCTAGGATTTCGCTACACACACAGTGGTTTCAAATAACCTATAATCGGGTAAGCAACCTGTCCTAGCTTGGAATGGTCACTACATATTTCGATATGCACTAGGTCGAATGGTCAAAAAGGGTGCCTCGGTAAAAATCAGAGTTTGTGTTCCCATCGTGGCAGAGCCCGTAACCGGTCAACCTTATGGCATGCTTCTCAAAGCGAGCCTCAGACAAACTGTTCAGGAATAACAGATGGCAAACACGGCGTCCTAGGCGTACCAATGCACATGTAATACAAAGAAACACATAAATGTAGTCAAAACAAGATATCATGAGTTCGAGTCAAGTTCTCTAAATCCCCAGCAGAGTCGCCAGAAACTGTAGACGTCCCCAAATGTCCCGGGAGGGAATCCCGTTTTGTTTATTGGGGCTTACTACAGTTTGGATTCAATGTCACGGTCCTATATCTAATCTCGCGGAGTGCAATGCAAGACCGATGAATCATCAAAGAGTCCAAATCCGACAAATCGCTTTGAAAAATTGATTTTTAGCAAGAAGTGCCAAACGTGGACTGCTTTGCCAGATACAGAGTCGCCACCTAAATATTTTATTTTGGGAGAATTTAGAAAACCCTGACTCGTGCCTAAGGCCACGTATCCGTCATCACCAAAGTTGCCTCGGCTCGGGAACTTGGGTACGATTGGGGAAGGTCACTTCGTGAGCACCCCCACTCACTCGATCAAAAATCAGCCTCTACTAACCATGATATCGAGTTTTGAAAACATTATGTGCTCTTACCCCGATTATTAGCCTAGAATTACTATGTGATGCACACAACATACAAGTATAGACTGGATCGTTTGAGTTGGAACAAAATATTTCATGTTTGTTTATTTGAAAGATGGTTTGATGGTGCTACTCGCAAGTAAGCTAAGACGTGGATTTTCCACCCTCAAGTGGGCTTAAGAAAACATGATTTTGCCACTCTCAAGTGGGCTTAAAACTCTCAATTGGTGAATTGTTCCAATTCAAATAACCCAACCATCACCCATAGGCATTCAGCAGTTTATATCACATAAGCAAAAGCCTCATGGTAAGCATGCTATCATGGCAGTCACTCACACGCATGCAAGGATGCTAAAGCATAAATACTTACCGAGTACTCAAGCAAAAGAAGGAAGCTAATCAGAAATCATGCTTGAATCCTAACTATGCGAAATGTCTAATGCAAACATGCAAAAATGCAACAAGATTAGGTCGGCTATTCTTAAATGGCATATGAAATGCAACAACTGATACACGTATTCAACTCAGAATTGAAATACAATGCAGTTAGTATGATGCGCCGAGCCCGGTGCATGCAAGACAGATAAATGGATGCAAACATGCTAGCATAAGTATGCTAATTGAAACGTGCCCTAAACTAACTATCATAAGCTGGTAAATAAAAGGGAGAAAGACATGGGGTTGGAAGACATGCATCACACACAAACGCACACTTATTACAACATTGCCCTCCTCGGAGGGTCCGAATGAATAGTACAGAATAAACTAGCTAATCTAAGCTAATTAAACTAATTATTACACAACATTAATTAATTAACAAATTAACTAAGTAAGTAAGAAAACTAGCATGCAAATTAAACAAAATGGACTGCCTCAGCTCTGTTCCGAATGATAGGGATGCATGCCTGCTAAAGTCGCCTTGTCGGGAAATCCATCGCGATGCCCCGATTTGCCTCTGCTTGCAACTGGTCCCAAAACACTGTACAAAGCTCCAGAAGGTTGCTGACCAGTTTTTGCTGCTGGTTTTCGGTTTGCTACAACAGAGAGCGAGAAAGGGGCATGGACATGGCATACATAATGTAAGATGGATTTAAACTAAAATGAATGGCATACATAATGTAAGATGTAAGAAAGAAATGAACAAGGCATACACAATGCGACGATTAAGCATGAGACAGCATAGATATGTCATACATAATGTAAGATGGACTTAAACTAAAATGAATGGAACTCAGCCACACTCAAATCAGTGGCCATACATGATGAAAATGAAGCAACAACACACATGCAAACATGCACAAATTGCAAGGGACCAAACCTAAGGCACAAAGTGCAACTCCACCAAAGCATGGTAAGCATGAAATATGGCATACAATCACATATTTTCTAGCTCTGAAATGACATGCAAGATGGTTCCGAATCATGCAAGCACCTCACACAATGCATGCTAGATGGCCCAAATACCGAAACTAGTGAAGTGGATTACACTATAGGCATGGAAAGCAATACTCAAATGACCAAACCAGCTCCAAACAGTCCCTATGCAGGCCCAAAACAGTGGCAAAATGGACTAAGATGATGTCTTGAAGTGCGCAAAAATGAAGCTCATGCAATGGCTCATAAACGGGGCATACAAGCACAACTCTCAAATGCGCTCAAAGAGTGATAAACATGGGAAGATGGCGAATGAATAAGCTCTGAAATATCATGCACAATGATACTAAAACATTCAAACACCTTAATATAAGCGTGCAATAGGCTTCAAAACTCAAAGCTAGGTATGGCTATTACACTACAAGCATACATGGCATGCATCATTCGACCATGTGACCTCAAAACAGAGCTAAGGCAACCCAAATCATGAATAAAACCAGTTTAGAACATGGCCAAAATATACTAGAATCAAGGGCCAAGACAACATGCAATGTAAGCTAGTGAGCATGGTTTACACTACAAGTATGTGAAGAATTCAAGAGGCCACTAAACCAGAAAAATACAGAGGTATGACATGCCAAATAATCCCAAAAACCCACTGTAAAGTGATCAACACATGCAAGAATGACATGCTTCTTTGATAAGCTATAAGAGGGGTTATTCTACACATGGAAGGGACACACCCAAGGTGACAAAACCAACTCTTGACAAAGCTTAGGCAGGCCCTAAAACTCATCGAAAATGGCTTGAAACATGGCTTGGAAGTATGCAAATAAGGGCTCCTTTGTAAGGCCAAAAATGCTAGAAAATAAAACAAGGAGAGAGAGGGTCACCCCTCTCTAATTTTGGCACTCAAAAATAGCATGCTAGCCATTGAAAATCCACTGGATTTCAGTGGCTAAAAGGCCAAACATAGGCCAACACAAATGTTCTAAGGCATGGCTCAAAACAAGGCAAAATGAAGCATGCAAGGGGGGAGATGACTCCCAAAAACAAAGTGACCTTAAACAAACATGAAAAGGACCTCAAAACAAGACTTTTTTCAATTTACACCAAAGCTCAAATATGTTTGCAAGTATGGCTAAAAGATGGAGCAAAATAATACTTAAAAGAGGGAAACTGTGTGTTACCCTTGAAGCTCAGCAAGACAGCAACTTTGAGGCCAAAAACTCAGACCTTCAACCTCTGAAAATGGCCTCCAAGGACCTCAAAGCAATGGTGGAGGTGTTAGGCTTTGAGGTGGTGTGCAATAGGCCAAGAACCAAGCAACTTTTGAGCCAAAGTGTAGAGATATAGGGAGAGATGTATGGTATGCCTTCAAACAAAATCTGAACCTTTACCAATGAGGGAGAGGGTCTCTCTTATAGCCAAAGGGGTCCAAAGCTTCCCAAAGAAGCTAAAAAAACAAGTTTGAAGATATGGAGGATCCATTATGTGCCTTCCAGCTGGCACAGTTGGCAACAACTCACAGAGACAAAACTGAGGGAGGCAGGCCGACCAGCTCAAAAGGTTCAAGTCAGCAAAAGGTGGTCGGCCATCCCATTTGGTGGTCTCCACATTGAATGCAAGCTAGTGGTGTGGTGAGAGACCAGCAATTGTGGCCCAAAAATGAGGGAGGCCAGTTACCTGTCAAGAAAACCGGCAGCGGTAGA